CCTATCCTCTCAATAAAATCAGGCTTAATTTGGACTTAAATGGATCTAACATTTTTATTAGAAATAATTATTAATTTTTATATTAAAATATTAAATATAACTTTATAAATAAAATAGTTTTTTAAAAAATATATAGTTTTATTTTAATATAAATTAATTTTTACTAGTTTATTGATTAGTTAATATTCTATTTTATTTTATATAAGTTTTATATTAAAGTTAAATAAAATAAAAATATTTATTAATAAATTATAAATACAATTATATTTAATATATTAAATTCAAAGTTGAAAATATATTTTAAATGAGAATATTTTTATATTATTCTCAAAAAATAAAAAATATTCTCAATTATATTCTTAAAGTTTTTAAAATAAAAATATTTTATTTTTTAAAACTACTTAGAGATTTTTAAATTAAATAATAAAATATTTTCAAATATTTTGTAATATTCTCTGAGAATAGTAAGAATATTTAATTTTATATGCTGATTATATTTTTATATAAGAATATTATCAAAACACAAAAATTTGATTCTTATTAATATATTCTTATAAGAAGAATTTTTAATGTATTTTATAATAGGTTTATTTTTCAAAAAATTGTTCTTATAAATAATTTAAAGCTTTTATAGAGAGATATAATAAATATTGCACTTTATTTAGTTGCAATTTGTAATATTCTATTTGTCAAAATATTGAAATACAAAATTATAATTCACAAGTAATTGCAGCTAGGTGATATTCTATTTGTAACAATTTTTAAATTTACAAAAATATATTTTAAAATAAAGAATATATTTTATTTAAACAATATTTTAATTCATTTTTATTTAAATAAATATTAATTAAAAGACCTTATTTGATAATATTTTAATAATACGTAATAAAAGTCTTATATTTGTTGTATTTTATTATGTTTCATTAAAAATTATCAAATTAAAATCTTTTTTGACTGGTATTTATTAAATAAAATTGGTTTAAATTTTTTACTCACCTAGTTCATAAATTTCTCAATTTTATTTCTCCATGACAAGCGTCGAACATTTTTAGACACACCATAATTTATTTATTCAATTTTCATAATTTTTTACTCCCCTGAATTATATACTGTATGTAAATATTAGAATTATTTAATATCCAATAATTTCTTAACTTGCCAAAATAAACTTTTGCAATTTTTTAAAATTCGAATGAAATTACATTATAAAATTTTATTTTGTAAACTGGGAATGAAATCTTAGTGTCCGTACTATATGATTTTGTGAGTATGAATAGTATTTTCAACATTCATTCGTCAATATTATGCTCGCGAAACGTCATGAACACTTCAAATCACAACTTATACTAGAGTTTGTAGTTTGCTTTAATAATTTACATTTAAACCAGTTTCATATATAAATTTGATACCACTGTATATCTCCGGAGTTAACGTGATTTGGTGGCAGGAGTCATATTTATATAAATTGAATATACATTTTACATGGAGAATTATATTCAAATGGGGTAGTAATATATATTATATTTAATATCATAAGATTGTGCTTAGGCATTATTTTATAACTATTTTAAATTTTAATAAATTCGTTTTTTTATAAATCAACAATAAATTGTTTTCTAGAAATGAGGGCAGTTAGTTAAAAATATTTTATTATACTTTCTGTTTATATGATCGTTATGAGAAAGTCAAGGCATAAATAAATCAAGGAGCATAATTAGCAAGTACTGAGGTTGATTAATTTCTTTCATAGAATAGCTTACGAAAAAACAGTTAAGTAAAATGTAAATAAAACATTTATTTCATGGTAAGAATGAATTAATGGGATGTGCAGTAGATACGATGACGTTTTAATTAAGGAGAGAATAATAAATCAAAATGTTAGATCCATTTAAGTCCAAATTAAGCCTGATTTTATTGAGAGGATAGGGATAGTTAAATTTGTTTAAAATTATCATTATACTTTCAGCTAAATCTTTTCATTTTTTAGTATGTGTGAATTTCTCTAGAGTATATGAAGTACAGTGTATATGCGTAACGGTAACGATTAGCATTTATAATTTCTGGAACCATGTAACGTAACGGAAATCATTACGTATCGGTAATTTGACTCCTGAAACTTTATTGAGAAAAGTTCTTTCATTATCCCTTGGTAGTAGGTATGACGGACTTTGATAGAAATATGGTTCTTTTTTTGATACAAGTTTATATCTCCTGAAAATTTCTTGATAAATAAAAAGTACCTTTCTTATCTTTTTGGTGAAGCTGAATTTACATTCATCGTGTGAATTCTCAACAGAATGGTATAGACTTTGCAAGTCATCAAGTGTTAATTATTATTCCTAAATTCGAATTGTGATTAAAGCAAAGTATTGCTTTTTTCTTGGGTATCCAATATACATGTATATGTAAATACAGAATGTTCATTGTGCTTTACCTAAATGGGTAAAGTACATGTATATAATACATGTACATGAAAGTACATTACATGTACTGTATATGTACCGGTACTTAGTGTACATGTTTTACCTAAAAAAGCAATACATGTATAATGTCATCATGTGATACATAGCATTAACTTTGGGAGAATTGTGACGATTTCACACACATTACGGCAAGGTACATTTTCAAGCAGTAGTTGTTATTTAAAAATTAATTTCTAATGACGTGATATTGTCTAGTTATACATTTTTAGAAAAATATCAAATATTAGGGAGAAAGGAAGCATCGCAATCATTACATGTATAGGATAGCAAGGAAGATTATATCTCAGGAGGGAACGTCTATATAATAAAATGAATGTTACTCCTTTTATTAATGAGCATTTATTTTGCTTTCTCAATGTTTTCAGTAGATCAAGAATAGCTTCTAAAGGAGAAGACATGAAGTTATTTCAATTCCATCTAAATTAGGCGTCAGATAAGCTTGTATAAATTAACACAATACAAACATCGAAAACTTGTATGACTATATCATTCCATGAATAAATCAACTTTGTGATACGGAGAAACCTCCCTGAATGCACCCCTCTAAGAACATAGTAAAAAAAGACAGAAAGTCATACGGTGCATTTAGAGCGAGTTTATATAGTGCATGTATCTAGGAGGTTTCTCTGAATAAAGGATAATTCCATCTTCTATGAACTTGATCAGATTGATAATGGAATATATGTTATATCCTTCTTGCAGTTTAAGCTTTTTATAGAACTTGGTTGGAGATGCACCATCGAGAGTTACCAACGTATTGATTCCTGAGTAATATCAGAAGATAAGTAAGCTACAAGTATAGATTATGCATTGAGTGACATTTGATAAACCACAAATTAAATTTTCACCGAATGGATAGCGCTAGGTTGGAAAATCAGAAGATAGTGCGAAATAAGGAATTAATGATACTGTAGGTTATACCGTGCAAATTTGAATTTATCCCTGCAGATCATATTATTTATTAATTACATGTCCGTCCTGATAATACGTGTACTTCGAGGGAGTGTTTTACAATAATTGAAAATTGTATTAAAAAATCCAGAAAGAAATTGAATGTTGAAATTATATTAAGTTTGTATTAATAGATTGAAAATTTAATGATATTGTGAATTGATCAAACAATAACCATTTCCGACATGATTGCTTGAAATTTTATTAGGGATATGACACAAAAATGATAGAAACCATGGAAAATAGAAAAAGAGGATGAGAACTGAAATTCTAAGATTTCTTGATTATTTTCGTATACTCGTGGATGCTTCATTTCATTCATAAAACTTCGCGCTAGCAAGGAAAATAATAATATAACTTAAACAAAATGCTATTAAAATAAGGATACATATTCCCTACCCCTTAATGACTGCGCCGGTTACGTGATTTCTGCATAGAAGAGGTTTACTATGACGGAACAAATAATAAATCGCTTTAATTTATGATTATTTAAGCAGAGACAATTGGTTTAGGATAGGAACTTACAATTTATATTTGGATCTTTAGCAATAAATCGTATGATTTAAAAGTTCTTTGACTTTATATTTTTGAAAATCTAATCAATCAATATTCATAATAGATTAGAGTAATTTGATTATATTTACCAGATCTGGTAATTAAGTATCAAAAGTTCTTTACTAACTATTTCATCGCATGACTCCTAGATTTTATTAGAGCTCACATTCTGCGCCATTTTTGCATTCTACATTTCCGTAACTATATTGTTCTTCATCAAGTAATGCCCAGAAAATCAAAAAATCTGATAGAGTGAATCTTAAACCATTTTAGATCAGGTTATCTCTCGGAGAGCCAAAATTAAATGAGACTGAATGATATTTAGAATTAAAGAAATTGTTCATACAATAAATAGATCAGATAGAAATAATTATGAAAATTGCGCAATTTGAATTTCTTATTAATAAAATGAATGTAAGGATTCAATACCAATATTATTATTTCCAAGGGGCTGACATACAAGTACCATTATTATTTACAAAAAAAGGAACAATATTTCCACATGGCAACTTTCGAATTACCTAATATTAAGGTTTATTGATTATGACTCGATACCTTCTCACTAAATGGAATAATTTTGTAGCCGAAATAGTTACATCATCACTAGAATCTAAAATTCTATATAAACAACCAGAGAATTATTAAAAATTTTTCCAAAAAAAAATGAATCAGCAAAACCAACAAACCCAACAAAATCAACAAAATCAACAAAATCAACGTCAGCGGCAGCAAAACGAACAAATTCCGCAAAACCAACAAGATCAGCAACAAATTCAGCCAAACCAAGATCAACAACGACAGCAACAGCAAGTCGAAATGATAAATGGATCTTTCAATATTTTCGACATGCCACATGTCGAAATGCACCCAGAAAATGACGTTTTTGCGATACTTTCAGAATCATATCGCATATAATTTACATGAAAAAATGTCTTATCGGTTTTGTTATGTAAAACAATATTATGCATCAAAAGTCTCTTTCACTGAAGAACCGACATTTTCTATCAGCGCATTTTGAAGTAGCTTTAAACTCTTGACATGCATATATTAGCTTATCGTTATCTTTTAAACCTTGTTATTCAAATGTCTTATATCAATTCTTTTTTTTAATATCTCTATTCACTAATTCCCTTATTGGCCTTTTATTAAGAATTTTTTACTATTCTTATTAAAATTGAACACACCAAATTTTAACATTCACATATAAATTAGAAAAGTATTATTAATTATCTGAGAGCAAACCTCTAATCATTATTTTATTTCTAAATTAGCTTAATAAAAAAAAATTAAAAAAATTAATAGAAAAACACTTAAAAAACTAAAAAATACACATAAAAACGAAAAAATCCTATTAATATAATAACACCCTGGATAATATTCTTAAACTTTTAATCGTATTATTTTTTACGGAACTTCTATGAAGAACCACGTTTTTATTCACTTATATTATATTTCATTAATTTTACACATACCCCAAACATAATTTTTGTATTAATTATTATATAATAGATCGTCAATATAAAAGTAATAGTTAGATTGAAAAATAAAGATCATTCATATATATAGTTAAAGCTCGATTTAACGATGCAAATATTAAGGGTAACTAATCAGTATTTCGAATAATCTTTCTTAGATATCACGTGATATCGATAATTCACGAGCTTTAATGTTGAATGATTTGTCAGCGCATATGATTTTAAGATGAGCATGCATAAATCTTACATGAAAAAATTCCAGCCAAGTTTATAGACCTCTACTTGGGCGACATTACAGATCGTGGCACGTGTCAAAAATTCAAACTAACGCGTAGATTTATAAAACATCGGTAAATGCTACAAAAAATTGCTAATTAAAACTTATCGTCAAACTGGGATGCTATTCTCTATAATAGAGATAATACTTTATCTCGGTAAATATGAAGTGCGAGACTAATTTTATGTATACATAGCTAGAGAATTTTATTTTTCGGTATTAGCAATCTCGTTAAAGCACCATATCGCTAAATCAAGCTTTGACTGTATCACTCAGAAGTCAGCTTTCATTATAATCCATATGGAACCGAGCAATTGTGTTGACATTTGAGGCTGATAACTTGAAAGTTTAGAATTATTATTATTTAAAAGACTCCATGTCATTAATGGAATATTAATTTCAATAGACAGAAAGAATAACATAAACTTGAACACTATATGATAAGAATAAATGATATTATAAAAGATTAATTAAATACAAGTTAAGAAATTGAATAATGATATTAAAAATATACAAGGTATAGTGATCTTATAAACTTTCAAAATATTTTACATTGTGTATATATATATAAATTTAAATAAGTAAATAAGCATTCACAATAATCAATAAATCCAACTTTATTTCTTTAATAGCTAACACTGACATATAATAATATTAAAATTAATAAGTATATTATGAGAAAAATAATATATGCACTATATTTGTGTAACATATAATTAAAAAAGAATAATATAAAGTGTTATAATATTCTTAAAGCTTCATTAGAATCAATTTGGTTTAGATTTGAGAATAATCCAATATAATCTAAAATTTTCAGTTTAGATTAAATATTGATCAGATCAGATTTAATTTCATACTCAAACTGAATCAATCTAAAAATATTTGATTTGGATCAGATTTCAAATTGATTTAATGATTTAATAAGTATTGAATTATATAAATTATATGATTAATATATTTATAACTGCTTTTTATAATTTAACAAAAAATATTTCTTGTGAATTTTGCTATACTCTCTTATATAATATAAATTAGATAATATATAATGATTAAATTTTTGTAACTATAATAAAAAAGTATTAAATTAAATAATTTTTAAATTAAATTACAAAAATATAAATTATTAATTAGAATTATATAATAATACAAATAGATTCAATAAAATTTTAAAATATTTTTTGAACTATTTTTTTATATTTTTATATTTTTTTATTATATATTAATCCTGTAATTTTATTATTTACTTCTTAAAATTACTGGATTAATCTAATTCAATTGAATTATATTATTTTAATTTGATATAAAATCAGAATAAACTAAAATTAAATGGAATTTTTTAGATTGAAAATAATAATTTAAACTAGAAATAAAATATTAAATTTAGTTTAATTATAAATTAATTTGAAATAAATAGAGCTTTAATATTTCTATTATTAATAATATTTAATTTTAAAAATTAAAAAATTATTATAATAAATATATATTTATTAAAATATTCATTTAAATAATTTTTTAAAATTCTAATATATTATAAATTATATATAATAAAATATAATTTATTCTTTTTAATTATAATAGTTTTTAAAAAATATTATATTTTTCAAAAATAAGCTAATTTTAAAATATAATCTCAAAATATAAGCTAATTATATTATATTTTCAAAAAAATAATTTATTTTTAATTAAATCTTTCTATAATAAAATTTTTATAATTATAATTATTTTTTTAAGTTTTCTAATTATTAATTAACTATAAGTAAAAAAAAATTTCTTTATAAAAAATATTTATATAATATTTAGTATTTATAATTTTTTTAAAATAAAATAAACTTATTTTTCTCTTTATATAAAAATTATCTTATACTAAAATCTTTATTCTATTTTTTAATATAGAATAAATTAATTATTTATTTTATATTATTATTCTATTATATTTTAAAGTGTTAAAAGATAATCTTATCTGAAAATAATATTTTTTTAATTATTATAAAATATTTTCTAGTCTATTCTACTTATTTATATTTATAATTAAATATTTTTATATCTTTATAATTCTTATTAAAATAGAGAAATTTTATAAATATATTATTTTAATACTTTTAAAATAATTATTATAATCATCTTAACTAATTATTATCTATATATTAAGTTATTTCTGAATTTTTAAGCTTTTTAAGATTATTATATATAATAAAAGAGATATATTATTCTTCTATATATTTCTTTAATATCTTATACCTATTTTATAAATATAATAAGATTTATTATTAAGTTTCTTATTTAAAAATTATTATTTTGTGAGCTATTTTTTCAAAAGTAAAAATAAAAGTAAATATGAAAGATTATTAAAATTTAATATTAATTTTATATTTTATTTTTATTTTAGATATTAAAAATCAAACTTGAATTAAGATAATTAAATATATTATTATAATATTCAAATTTTTTAGCTTATATTATAAATTAAGCTCTTTATATTATATCATATAATAATATAATAAAATTATTAAAGATAAAAAATAATTATAAAAAAGAATAAATTATAATTTTTATATAATTTATATAGTTAAAATTTTTTAAATGAAATACTTTATAAATTTTTATATTACATATCAAATAATTTAATTATATAAAAATTTTTTGCTCAATTTTTAAATTTTAATAAAAGATTAATTAGATTTAATTTAAGATTTAATATAAAAAATTGATTAAAAAAGAAAATTTTATTAATATAATTTATAATAAATAAATTTCAAAATAATTTTATAAGTATTAATAAAATATATATAATATATAATAAAAAAGAAAAATTATAATACAATAAAAAAAATATATTTCATATCTAGTAATTAAAAATTATATAAAAATATTATTATTAATTTTTTATATCTATATAAATTAAATAATATATTTTTATCTGAGTCTGATTGTTAAATATCAAGATATTGCACTTGAAATTTAGTATAATAACTGCTAAAAGTTATATATTAGAGAATCAAATCTATTATATAATAAAAATTAAATTTTTCATCTATATTATAATCTATAATTTTATTAACAAATATTTTCATTTTTATATCAAAATAAAGTTTATAATCTAAGTTTAATATATATTTTTTCTGAAAGAGTTCTAATTGTAAAGTTATCAAATTTTTAAAGAAATTTAATTAAAAAAATTTTTGTAATAATTTTACAATTAGAATAATTCTTTTAGAAAAAAGCTAAAAAATTTGAAAAAAATATATATTAAACTATAATTATCTATTTTATTTTGATATAAAAATAAAAAAAATATTTGTTAATCAAATTTTAGATTTTAATATATTGAAAATTTCAATTTTTACTATATAATAAATTTGACCTTCTGATCCATATGTCAGATCTTCACTGGGTGATATCTCGATTACCTAGTGATTCTGATCACGTGAAAAATTATCACACTCAATTTGTCTAATCTAATGTTGATACATGTTTTTTCAAGCATCTTTTTCCCTGCGTCATAATTAGCATTTATAAAATACAAAATAATTATTTTTTTATTTTTCTCTTATTTTTTAATGAAGTATTAAATGTTTTTCTAAATTTATCTAAAAATGAATTTGCTTTTCAGCTATAATAAATATATTAACTTTAGTTTTATCTGTAAAGAGTTTTTCTAATACCAATTTTAACTGCGTTATAATATCCTAATCTAACTTATGAGCGAGAACAGATTGTAAACGTTGCAGAATTTAACAGAAAAATATAAATTATATAAGCCATTACAAGAAGTAAATTTTTTAGGAAAAAAATTTTAATTTATACAGTCGTTAAACTGTAAATCGAGGGAATATTAATAGTTATTAAGCGCAGTTTCAATATGTTGACCTGGGAGAGAGAGTCGGTAATTCGCAATTCTGTTAAACCGGCAATCGGTAAATCAAGCATCGACTATATTAACGATAGGCTTCTATAATTCCCCTTGAAATATTATTATCATTTACATTCGACGTAGGAGACTGGTTATTAAAAATATCTGTAATGCCATTCACAAAACTTTCCATCATATTAACAACGTTTAAATTTTCCGGCGGCGCTTGTTGCTGTTGCTGCTGCTGTTGCTGCTGCGGCTGCTGTTGATTCATATTATTAGTATTGAAATAACTTAAGAAATCTTTGAATAAAAAACTTCAATAACCTTTGCGAGATTGATGCTTCGCTTTATATAGACACGTCTTCATCAAACAGTCCAAAAAAAGTTAAAAGAGAAAAAGCTTCAGCGATTAATTTAGCTTCTAAGGAATATGTGAGGATAAATGAGCATATATGCAATATGAATATATCTAGAAGGTTTTGTAATGCATATAAAAAAGCAAAAAAAAGCATAGATTTATAAAGAGTAAATTAATGACAAAGTTTATTACTAATAAAGATTATCTTTTTATCTTTGAAAATACTCTAAAGGATAATAACGATACATGTATTTATTATATATATCATATCAGCCAGGGTATAACAATTTTGTCAATACTTTGTTGCATCGTTTTTGTCTTTGTCTTTGTCTTTGTCGGAGATAGATTTAACAAGGTCGTCAAATTCTTAAACATTTCTCACATTACATGTACATGTATTTGGTATTGTAGATCGTACTCCTGAGATCCCACAGAATGGCAGTTCACCAGTAATCATTCTAAAGCTATAAACATTTGCAACTTTAGTATATAGCTTTACATTTAGCAAACAAATTTATGACGCTCGTTAAAGTATTCATTTTATTACGTACTTATTTAAGTAAATAATTGTAGGTTTAATGCCTTGGCGCTATAGAATATCTGTGCCATAGATAACAAAGCTCGTCTATTCGACGGTATTGAAATTTTTGCCGCTGTTTTTGCTCTCTTGCAAACTTGAATAAGCTGTTGTTGCTGGTACTTTTACCGTTACTCTTATTATTGTTTTAAAATCTACCCCTAA